CTGATTGGCCCGCTTTACTCAATAATTACTCCTTTATTATAAATAATAGAAAAAAATGGTTCAGGACTTTTCGACTCAGTTTTATTCCTTCTATCTGCCTACGAGAGATTGTACGGCTATTCTGGGACACCCTGTATATACGCCGTGTCGCTTAATTATACAGAGAGAGAGAATCTGTGTCCCGCCGCACATCAGGGATTATCGAGCGACGTTCGTTCGTTGTCTTTTTTTTTTTTCGTTGTTCGCGATCGTGTAAATTATGGTGTTTAGGTGTCACGAAACCGGGACGTGTATACGGGACGTATTTTCTGAGCATTCGTTTTTTTTTTTTTTCTGCGCGTAACGGTAACCGGTTGAATCTCTGAAAAAACGATTTAGAGAAAGAGTCTCGTCGGAGGTGGCCAAGTGTAACGTGAGAAACAGCTACCGGGGCGGCTACCGAAGTGAAAATTCATTCACAGACGGAAACGCGCGTTTGTTGCGTGGAAACACTAGTTTATAGTTTTGAAACATTTCCTCGTACGAAGATACACACCGGTACGTACACTGGATATATCGAGTCTTGGAAGAACGCGGAGAGAGAAACAAAGAGAGAGAGAGAGAGAGAGAAGCACCACTCGTTGAAATTACACCCGGCTTCGTTTTAAAGACACCGTGGATCTATTATTACCAGTGTAAAAGAATCGAGCGAGGAAGAGAATTATTTTCTACCGCAACATCTCGCGCAGCAAGTAGCGCTCCTCGTGTGTGTGTTTGTGTGTGTGTGTGTGTGTAAATTTTATTGTGTCCGTTACAAACATTTCCTCGTCGCTGTCGAGAAGCGACCCTAACGAACCATTCAATCTGCCACTATGGGCATCTAACCGCTCGTCGTAAGGAGCACTAAGTATATATGTCGTCGATTCTAATGATACAAATTACACCTGATTTATTCGACGGTTAACTTGGAAATTCAATCACGACGGGTATATTCTATCGCGAGTATATCGTTTAATACGACCGTTTCGCGAGAGAGAGAGAGAGCGCATGAATATGAAGCAGATAGAGAGAGTCTTAAGAGCGCGCGCGCGTGTGTGTACGCGAGGAAGCTCGTAAAGAGAGACGTCGCGACTCCTCTCTTCTTCCCCCCTCGCATTATTTGCGCGATATCGCGACAGAAGTGAACAAATTCGCAATTTTCTCCGGATGCGAAAACTAAAACGCGTGAAACTACGAAGTAAGCCGCAATTCCCCGGCGAATCGAATTAATCGCGACACGTCGATAAATAATTTTCGCTCGGCGCGAAAATAGACCGCGCTATGCAAAGTAGTAATAATTGCGGCTTTTAAACTTAATAAATCAACACGTGATTCAAAACAAAAACCGCAATTTATTTTTGCATCAATCT